CTCAGAAAACTAAGAATAAAAAGAAATGTCCTTAACGTGACAGGGCATCTACAAAAACCCTACAACTAACACAATACTTAATAGTGAATGACTGAATGTTTTCCAACTATGATCAGGACCAAGACAATGATGTCCACTCTCACCTCTCCCATTTAAAATTTTATTGGGGATTCTAGCCAATTCAATAAAGCAAGAAAAATGAAATATTAAAAATATTATAGACTAGAAAGGAAGAAATAAAACTATTTTTATGCCCTGATGACATAATTCCTTATGTAAAAAATCCCAAGGAATCTACAAAAAAGCTAATACACTTAATAAGTCAGTTTAGCAATGCTCTGGATACAAAGTCAACATATAGAAACCAATTGCATTTCTATATAATTGTTATGAACAATTGAAATTTAAAATTTTAGAACAGTACCATTTACATATCATTCAAAAATGTAAAATACTTAAATATACATCTAATCTAACAAAATATATGCAGTATCTGCATGCTGAAAACTATAGATTCCTAATGAAAGAAATCAAGGAATGCTTAAATAAATGGAAAGATATATGCATGTGGACAGATTGGAAAACTCAATATTGTTATGATGTTACTTCGTTCCAAATGGATCTACAGAGGCAACACAATCCCAATCAAAATCCCAGCAGATATTTGTGTAGAAACTTATAAACTGATTCTAAAATTTATATGGAATGGAAAAGGAACTCAAATAGCCAAACCAATTTTGAAAAAGAACAAAGTTGAGGATTCACACTACCTGATTTTAAGATTATGAAGTTACAGTAATGAAGACTGTGTGGTATTTATTGGCCAAAGAACAGACACAGATCAATGGAACAGAGTATATAGAAATATACCCATAAATATATGGTCAACTGATCTTCAACAAAGGTGCAAAGGCAATTAAATAGAAAAACAACAGACTTTTCAACAAATGGTACTGCTTGGAAAAATTGGACATCCATATAAAAAAGTAACCTCAGCCCATACCACACAATGTATACACATTAATTCAGAATGGAACATAGACCTAAATGTAAAACCTAAAATGAGAAAACTTTTAGAGGAAGACATAGGAGAAAAATCTTTGTGACATTAGGTGAGGCCAAGGTTCCTTAGATATGACACCAAAAGCATGATCCATAAGGGGAAATAAGTGGATACGTTGGAATTCATGAAATATAAAAACTTTCACTCTGGGAAAGACTCTTTTAAAGGAATGAAAAATTGGGGTGACAAGTTAGCTCAGTTAGTTAGAGCGTGGTGCTGATAATACCAAGGTTGCTGGTTTGATCCCTCCATGGGCCACTCTGAGCTGTGCCCTCCTTAAAAGAATCCACTATGCCACTGTGGCATGAAAGCAATGTGTAACCAATGACCATGGCTGTTCCCCAATAAAAAAATTAAAAAATAAAAATATGTAAAAGAATGAAAATAAAAGCCACAGATTGGAAAAAATATCTACAAAATACATATCTAAGAGAAGTTATATTCAGGATATACACAAAACAATGAAAATTAAATAAGAAAAAAAGCAGCTAAAAATTTTACCAAAAATCTTGACAGTAATTTTACCAAAGGAGGTATAAAAATGCCTAATAAGCACATGAAAAGATACTCAACCTCATTAACCATTAAGGAGATGAGAATTAGTGAGGTGTCACTACACACCCACTAGAGTGTCTATAACTAAAAAGACTGATAATACAGCATCAGAGAGAATGTGGAAAAAGTGGAATCTTTAAACACTGCTAGTGAGAAGATAAAATAGGACGGCTACTGTGGTAAATCATTGCCAGTGTCTCAAAAGTTAAACATACACTTACCAATGATAGAACAAATTCAATCCTGAGAGTCTGCCCAAGAGAAATTAAAACTAATGTCCACACAAAGACATGTATGTGAACATTCAGAGCATTATTCTTCATAATCACAAAATAATGGAAACAACCTAAATGTCTCAACGAGTGAATGGGTAAACAAACTGTAGTACATCCACATGATGAAATACTCCTCAACAATAAAAAGGAACTAACCAGTGACAATGCAACAATATGAGTGGGTCTCAAATGCATAATGCTAAGTGAAGGAAGCCAGACTCAAAAGGCTGTATACTATATGATTCCATTTATATGACAGTTTTTAAAACAGTAAAACTCACAGGGATAAAAATTAATCAGCGGTTATGAGAGGTTAAATGCATGAGGGAAGGATGACTTCAAAGTAGGTTTACCAGATTCACCAAATAAAAATACAGGACACCCAAATAAATTGAAATTTGAGATAAATAACAAATAGTCTTTATTTAAATATTAAGTATATCTCATGCAGTACAGTGATTCTCAAACTGTGGTCTTAGGACCAGCATCATTAGAGTTAACTGGGTACCTGTTAGAAATGCAGATTCTCAGGCCACACCCACACCTACTAAAATAGGAATGCTGGGGGTGGGCCCAGTAATTTATGTTTTAACAAGCCCTCCAGGTGATTCTCATGCTTTGGTTGGAGAACCACTGCTCACAATACCTGTCACTGGCAAAAAAACAAAACAAACAAACAAAAAACATAAGAAGCTAACATGAAGAGAAAGAGGCACATGAGCCTGTTCAATAAATCAATTTACCATCATCAAATATTAACTGAATAGCCAAAGGGTGTATAGTAGGTTCTCTGAGAAAGGACTATAGCAGTGATTTTCAACTAGGGACAATTTTGCCCCCAGGGGTATTTGATAAGGTCTGGAGACATTTTGGGTTGTCATAAGTGGGAGGAGAGGCTCCTGGCATCCAGTGGGTAGAGGTCAGGGATGCTTGGTAAACATCCTATGAAGCACAGAACAGCTCCCCACAACAAAGAATTATCCAGCCCAAAATGACAATAATGCTAAGGTTGCGAAGCCTGGACCATAGTATAAAGATTAATCAAAAGATTTTGGGGGGGGCCAGCCGAGTGGCGCGTTGGTTAAGAGCTGGCTTGGGATGCCAGAGGGCCCCGGTTCGGATCCCACATGAGAGCCAGTGACACTGCCCTCTACAGCTAAGATGGTGAACAACAGCTCAACCTGGAGCTGGGCTGCCTTGAGTCACCGGCGACGGCGTAGGCTGCAGTGGAGCTGCAGTGGGCTGACATAAGCTACCGTGTGTGGCTGGCAGCCAGCGTGAGTGGCCAGCAGCTGGTGTGAGCTGCCAAGAGCCGCTGTGAGTGGCCGTCCAGAGGCCGGTGACTGATCTGCCTCAGCTGGGAAGAGCACAATGATAATACCAACATGGGCCAGTGAAGCGACATCCTCCACAACTAGACTGAAGAACAAAACGACAGCAACTTGTCTGTTCCCCTTCCCCGATTCCCCAGCACTGTTCTTCCCGCCACAATTCCCCAATAAAATCTAAAAAAAAAAGATTTTTTTTACCCCAAAGGCTTTAAATCAAAGACATTTTATGAACATGGAAATAAAAAGATTAAAACGTAGTGACAAAATAATTCAAGGTTTCTCATACTAAAAATACTAGAGTTACTCTGAGGAGAATTTATAGACACTTAGTAATACATAGCTAAAACATCAATTTGGTGGTAGGAGGCACCTTTATTTATTTATTTATTTTTATTTTTTAAAGATTTTTATTGGGGAATTGGGGGATGGGTAGGAGGCACCTTTATAATGAAATACCAGGTTGTTTTTCTCAGAAGTTGTGTGAAAGAATAAATTGGAGATGACAAGTTTGAGAACCACATGCAAATTAAAATGCATCTGTAGACACTGTATGACCAGAAAACACACTGGCCCTAGAATCACAGAACTTGAGTTCTAGTCTTGCTTTGGTATTAGGTATTAAGCACAAGTCACTTCATTATTTGGGCTTTAGCTTGTTGATCTATAAAATGAGAAGGTTAGACTATTTAAGTCATATCTAAGACCCCTTGCAGCTTTAACATACTATGCTTATGTCAAAAATGAGCACAGGAAACATTCAAAATGTTTTTTTACAGGACATGAGGTGGAATAGCATCATTTTATTCCCTTTGGGGTAGTCTTCTGTTGACTTTAGTACTTTTGGTTCTTGTGTTTAGAAGGTGCTAAAGAAAACTATTCAGCTTTTTAAATTTATTTATAATAATTATATTAATAAGTCATGTTCATTACAGAGAAATTAGAATATACAGATAAGCCTTCGTTTTTCACTAACATTCTCAGACAATTTCCAGTAGGAAGGTGTTAAGATGGTCTAAGAAAAGTCAATTATATTTTTGAAATTAAAAATTGAAGGAAAATGGTACATCTGAAGCTGATATTGAATAATATTGTATGTCAACTATAATTTAATATATATATGTATATATATATATATATATATATATACATATATATATATAGCCACGGGATATGGAGTACAGCATAGGGAATAGAGTCAATAGAATTGTATTAGTTATATACGATGTCAGAGGGGCAATAGATTGGGGGAGGAGGGCTATCACTTTGTGAGGGGTGTAAATGTCTAACTATTACATTGTTTTGTACACGTGAAACTAATAATAAAAAAAATTGAAGGAAAAGTTTTAGAAAATTAGTTACAATTTATATGCATATACTTAAGACTACATTATTATTTAACATAACTTATGCTATAGGAAAATGAAACCTCATAACCCTCTCTCTGAGTACACACTTTTTAGTTCAGTATAAGAGTAACAAAAACCATATCAGCATCTATATACTTATGAAATATAAATCTACACATATACAACCATAATAATGTCAAGATCCCATCTTCAGATGTTTAAATTGGAAAAATATATAATTTCTTATTTTTTATAAAAATAGAAGTTAATGGGCCAAAGAAAACTCATTTAGCTTCAGGGTTAGATGTATGATAGTCTTTATTGCCAAATGTGTCAGTGTGCCTGCCTCTATCTCAGTGTTAGAAGTAATTTGCTAGAATAATTCCAGTCAACAGCATTTGACTTCACTAATTTCCAAAGAGTAACTTACTTTAATGTGATGTACACCATTCAGGTTTCCAATCTGCTGCTCAATGGTCCAAACACAGGAACTACATGTCATTCCCTCAACAGAGATGGTGACAGAATTCACACCCATACTTGGATCCATTTTGATTTCTTCTTTACATTCCTATTAGAAACAATGAACTCAATTTCAGCCATGGAAATAATCCTTCCTCCACTTTCCCCCCACCGCTTCGATTGAAAATATACTACTAATAAAATATAGTCAGTATTCTTTTCTCTCACCTCATTTTACTCCCATTTCAGGGCCTTTGCTTTAACTATTCCCTTGGTATGGGACTTTCTTTGTCCACATATCTGCTTAACTAACTTGCTTGTCTCTTTCAAGTCTTTACTCAAATCTCACCTTCTTAAGGAGTCTTACACTGACCACCATTTAAAATTGAAACCCACATCCCTTCCACATGCGCATATTCTGATTCCCCTTACCTCTGCTCTATTTTTTTATAGAACCTATCACCTTCTAATGTGCTCCATAATTTACTTATGTTTATTACTTATTATGTCTTCCTGTGATGGTTTTAAAATATGTTCACAAATTATTTGTTATTCTTTCCTTCACTAGGCGGAATTTAACTCCTTTCCCCTTGAGTGTGGCCTGGACTTGGTGACTTGCTTCCAACATATTGAATATGGTGGAAGCAACGAGATGTGACTTCCAAGACTAGGTGATAAAAGGCACTGCAGGAGGGGGAAAACATCACTGTGGTTTCTTCCTAGTCCTCTCTCTTCAGTCACAAGATCTGGGGGAAGTCACCTGCCATGTCATGAGGACACTCAAGCAACCTTTTGGAGAGGTGCATGTACTGAGAAACTGAGGCTTCCTGACAACAACAAGCAAAGACCTGAGGCCTCATGCCAACAGCCAGGTGAGTGAACCATCTTGGAAGCTGCCTTTAGAAAGATGCCTGCAACCCCAGACAACATATTGACTGCAACCTCATCAGATACCTTGAGCCAGAACCACCCAGCTAACCCACTACCAAATTCATGGCCCACCGAAACTGAGATAATAAATGTTTGTTCTTTTAAGCCACTAAATTTGGAGTAATTTGTTATACTGCAATAATTAAATAATATACTTCCCACTAAAATGGGAAATTCCACAAAGGCAGGAATCTGTTTTTTTCACTGATGTTAGTTTGAACTATATGAAATTGCCATTGTTGTGTATCAAAATAGTCAAACACAGTAAAACCTTGGATTGCGAGTAACGTGGTTTGCAAGTGTTCCGCAAGACGAGCAAACATTTCTAATAATTTAAAATAACGTGGTAAACAAGCAATGTCTTGCAATACCAGTAATTTGTTTCCAGAACAAATTATGCTCACAAACTAAGGTATTACTGTATTGGCAATTTCATACAGATCAACTTAATATATAAAAGGGAAACAGTGGTTTCCTCTGGTGAGGGGAACTGAATGAGTGGTTCGAGGACCAGAGTGGGAAAAAGAATTTTCACAGTATAACCTTTTATACCTTTTTTAAAAAAATTGAGATGTACCTGACATACAACATTGTGTAATTTAAGGTGTACCATGTGTTGGTTTGATACATTTTCATTGCAATATGACTTCCACCATCACTAACACCCCTATCACATCACTTAATTCTTTCTTTTTTGTGGTGAGAACAATTAAGATCTAGTCTCTTTTGTACCTTTTGAATTTTGTAACATGAGAATATATTGTCTATTCAAACAAACACAAACAGACACACACACACATATGCACACACAAAAGAACATGGACCTGAAATACTAGAAAATAATACGTGTTTGTAATTGATGCATTGTAAGATCGTTGGTCTTGTTTGGAATGCATAGAGAGAAAGAGATAACCTATATTTTGTTAAGAATACATGTTACGAATTTAAGGATAACTGGTAAAAGACTACAAAATATAGTATCCAAAACAGTAGAGAGAAAAAGAGAATAAACAACTAAGAACATATTTCTATAAACTCTTTTGTTTAGAGGCTAGTGTGAAATGATTATGTTAAAAGCAGTACCAGAATAAGGCTTAAGAGATTATTCAGGAAAAAAGAGAGACTTCCCAATGCGTATCTGAGCACCTCTGTTAGAGTACCATAGATTATTCATGTTTAGGTAAATTAACGGAAGTTAATTAGAATAATTTTAATTCTGTAAGAAAAATTATATTTGGAAAGATACATTAGCTCAATGTGAAGAACTTGCATTTATCTTGCAAAGACTGCAAATTATATAGAAAATACCAAGTTTTGTGTAAGAAGAGGAATACTGAGGTAAAAGAAAAAGTCACCCAAAGCAGTGATGAAAAAAAGAAAGAGGAGCAGAAAATAACCTATTATTATAAATTACAAGTCTTAGGTCCAGTAACATGTATCCAGTATTCATCAGGGGGTTTCTCTGCCCTTGGATAAAGATCCTGTTGTGTGACCATAATAAAAAATTAAGGACAACAAAATCTTTTTTAAAGACTCATTTTTCAAAATTAACAATGGTCAACTACAGAGCTCAAAAGTGGTTTTACAAATACCATGATTTACACTGACTCTATTTTCCTCCAAAAGTCATTTCTCAAAAAAATTGGTAACATCAGTTATCTCATAGAATGGACAGACAGTGGATGGATGGGGGTTGGGGAGAACTTTTGCCCTTTGAATTATGTGAACGTAAAACTAATTCAAAATAAATAAAATTTATAAAAAACTATGTAAACCAAAACAATTCTTTGCAATTAATTTATTCCAAATGGTATAAAAATTACGTCATCTTAGCTCTGCTAAGCTCAGAGAAACAAACAGAAACTGCTACTGAATCACACCCTCTGCTCCTAAAAGAAGGTGATTAGTGGACTTGTTTCACTTCTTCAACTGGTTTCTGTGGAACTTTGAACAATTACTTTCCAAATTTCTACCAATATAATTTTCAAATATCTAAAACAACAGAAGTTCTCAGGGATAATTTATTTTCAAATAATCATTGGTTTTCAGCATTTTTTTTTCATTATATATTCTTTTTTGAGATATAATTCACATACTACAAAATTTACCCTTTTAAGGTGTACAATTAAGTGTTTTTTTGTAATATTCACAAGGATGTGCAACCATAACGACTGTAATTGCAGAACATTTTGAATATTTTTTTCATGTGCTTATTGGCTATTTGCAGATATTTTTTGGAGAAATGTCTATGTAAGTCCTTTACTCATTTTTGAAAACAGCTTTTGAGTTTTTTTCTTGTTGAGTTGCAGGATTTCTTTATATATTCTGTATATTAACCTCTTATTAGATATATGATTTCCAAATATTTTCTCCCATCTGTGGGTTATCTTTCTATTCTCTTGATAGAGTCCTTTGATGCCCAAGTTTTTAATTTTGATGAAGTCCATTATATCTATTTTTTGATGCCTCTATTCACTTTTTAAATTGAGATATAATTGACATACAACATTGTATTAATTTTAGGTATACAACATGATGGTTTTATACATACATCAAGATGATTACCACCATAAGTTTAGTTAACAACCATCACCACATAGTTATAATTTATTTTCTTTTTCTTTTTTTAAAGATTTTTATTGGGGAATTGGGGAAAGGGGAACAGACAAGTTGCTGTCCTTTTGTTCTTCAGTCTAGTTGTGGAGGATGTTGCTTCACTGGCCCAAGTTGGCACCATCATTGCGCTCTTCCCGGGCAAGGCAGATCAGTTGCCGGTTTCTGGACGGCCACTCACTGCGGTTGCTGGCTGCTCACGCTGGCTGCTGGCTACACACGGTAGCCCATGGCAACACACTGCCACAGGGGCTGCAGCCTACACCATCGCCGGTGACTCACGGCAGCCCAGCTCCAGGTTGAGCTGTTGTTCAGCATCTTAGCTGTAGAGTGCAGTGTCACTGGCCCTCATATGTGGGATCCGAACCGGGGCCTTCCGGCGTCCCAAGCCAGTTCTTAACCAACGTGCCACTTGATTGGACCTGTATCCTCTTTTTTAAATACAAATTCCTCTTTGGTAGTTTAAGGGGCTGATATTTGGAATTATACCTCCTAATACCTATGTAAGATCCAGATGGGACAGGAAAGGCAGGTATTGTGAGCAAAAGATAGTTGGGCTGAAGGGAATTCAGGGGCCCAGGTGAAGAGTCCAAGGTGGGGTATATCATGACAGCATGAAGCATTAGGGGCTAGGCAGAAGTCACTAGGAAGCTGTAATGGCTACAAAAAAGGAAGTAGAATGGTGTCTAAACAAACAAATCCTATCAAAATTTTGTCTACAGCTGGTTCTGTGCCTAAAAAAGGAGACTCTACCTCTTTCTTCCTCCAGGACAGAACACTCAGACTTAGTACTACATAGCTCAGATGCATTATGGGTCAAATGGGGCTTCTGATGGCTGATCTAGGTGCATTACCAAAACTGACTAAATTGTTTTATGTAAAAATGTCAAGTTCAAACAGCAGAATTGGTAACAAACTTTTGGAATACAATACACTCAGCAGATAGATGAAGGCTAGTTTACTTGGTTAGTTAAAAATGTAAAATTGTAATACAGGTTTATTATAGGGTATGCCCCAGACCAAAGTACTGGAAAATTTCTCAGGCTTACTGAGGACCTAAGAGAAACCAGTAAAGCAGAAAGGCACTTTTAAAGTAACTGGATAATTCAACCTGGAAGTATGTATTGGGGAGGAAAGAGTTCCCGAGCATGTATGAAAATTACATTAATACAGCCACATTTCACACTACATCCTAATTTAAGCATGTTAAATCATCCATCAATAATATATATTTCCTTCTGCATTCAGAATTCACCTGTGCTTTTTTCTTCCAAACTCTACTTAAATTGGACTTCACATGCATAACCTCAGAGAAACATCTCCCTCATATTATTCTATTATATATATATACACACAACTTGAATTGATTTTGTAATATATGCTATGTCCATCTTTTGAATTTTAAATGTCTCAAAGATAGGTACAGTCAGGAACATTTTTTAACCTCTCATTGCATGTAGCAAAATGACTCAGAAAACAGAGTAAGCATAACAATTTCACCTGGTATGGGAAAAACTATAGGTTTCTGGGAGAGGACAAAGTCAAAGGAACAAATCTAGCATGCAG